TTTGTATCTTTTTTGGTCAAATCTCCTGAACCTAACATATTTCCTTCAGTAAAACTCATTTCCAGTAAAAGTCATTTCTTTCACCGATGCTTCCCTAAATTCCCAATGTCAAGTAATGGTAGCTCCAGCTTTTTAATTCTCAAAGCTAGATGTGGTGGTGCATGCCAGCAACCCCAACGCTTTTGGGAGCAGATGCAAGAGGATTCCAAGTTCAAACCCAAGTTGGGTAAAGTAGCAACTTTGTGAGATTCTGTATCCCTGTGAAGGCCCTGGATCTATCCTAGTACCCGCCCCACCAAAAGGAGGGGGGTGAATCTCTGGATCATTTTAAATTTCTCTTTCACCCTAAGTATTGTCCAAATAATGGCAAAGCATGCTGCAAAACCATGAAAGACATGTAAAAACTAGGTTTGATACCAAAATCCATCCAAAGGAGTGAATTTCCAAAATACCTGACAGGTAGGGAGGGGCATTCTGTACAGCTAAATTCAATGGACATATTGTACTGAGATATATTGTTGTACATATCAGGAGTTTGTAAATCTGGCCTCTCATAAAAATAATTTTAGGAGTTTTTCAGTGTCATCATTCTCTATTCCCTCTCCTCATCTCCATGCACAGGTTCATTTTAAAATTCACAGAGGTAGAGTCAATATTTCTGATATGAAAGGCAAATCTTGGAACTGATATTACATTTGAGAGCTAAAGTAAAAGAGGGACAAGGTATCATGGGCTCTTGAACAATTGAGATATTTGAAGTTTCTATAGGAGCTTGATTTCCATTTCCTGAGAAATTCATTTGTGTAGAAGGGCTGTTTAGTTTACAACTAGACATCGCCAAGAACTTCACGTGCTCATTAGCTAGGATTTTGGTAGAAGATTGGGCCATGTGAGGGCCTGGTCCATAGCTGATCTGCTGTTAGGAGGTAGGGTCTGCTTAGAGGAGGAGGTTTGCTGTAAACATGACCTAGGAGGGGGTGTCTCCATTCCACCTTCCTCCTTCTCTTTCTGCTTCTGGTCTCCCATGACTCAAGCAGCTTTCATCAGCCCTAGCCTTTCTGCCATGAGTTTTCTGTGTGTAAGCCTGCTGAACATGAACTGTAACTTCTGAACCATGAGCCGAAATGAACCTGTCCTCCTTTAAGTTGCAGTTGTTGAGTATATTGTCCTAGCGACTAGGAAAGTGACCAAGACAATGGCTAAATCTAATTTAATCACTGGACTTAACTGTCCCCAACTTAAGTCTTGGAAGGGGAAACACTGCAGACTTCTAATTCTCAGGAATGCACACAAAGTTAGGCAAAGAAAGGCATTTAAAAAGTCTATAGGAAATTAACAAGTCATACTGATGCTATCTCAAAAGTTATAGCTCAAATTTGCTCCTTTTATTTTTCCTCTTATCTTCATTCTTTACAAAAAAAATTTATGCTTCATTTTATTACTGCAGACTAGCTATGCAGAAAAGTGGGTTTTGTTTAGGTTTAGTTGCACATGTATACAATGGACTTCAAATACTTTCACCTTCTCCTCTTATCTGCTTTCCCCTTTTCTGTCCCTTTCTTTGAACCCCTTTCTATCTTCTAATAGTCTCCCTTTACTTTCCTGTGGCCTCTTGTTTTCTAAGATTTTTAGATTACATGTATGAAAGAAAATGTGCAATATATTTTGCTTTATATGATGATCTTCAGTTCTATTTTTCTAAAAATGACAGGATTTTATTTTTCATTATCTTACCATCATTCTTAACCTTCATCATTTTGTGACTGAAGACTAGACTCTTAACTGGTTTCTCTGCTTCATTGTGGCCCATCAGCCTTTCCTTTGTATTCCTTCCAGAGATAGGTGTCTAAAAGGAAACTTTGCACTCCCTCCTTCTCCTTCTCCTAGTCATTCTCCCTTCCTTCTCTCTCCTTTTTCTCTCCTCTCTCTCTCTCCCTCTTTCTGTCTCTGTCTTTGTCTGTCTGTCTGTCTCTCTCTCTCTCTACCTTGCTCTCTCTCTTTCATTTACCCTTCCCACCTCCACTCTACTAGTTAAAAAGTACACAAGTAGTTCAACCCCATTTTGTCTGGCTTTCTAAACCCTTTACAGTTTGCCTCAAACAACTCCAGTTCAGTCCTTTATGTTCTTCCTCCAAATATATCCAAACCCTCTGAATATCTTACATCTTGTTCTTAGATGTGTCTTTTTCTCTGTACTTTCATCATTAAGTATCTATTCTTTAATCTGCCTAGACTGTATCATCACTGTTTTCTAATTGGGAATATCTCACTGATTCCCAAAACTAAATTAGAATGTTATTTCTTTAGTGAAAACTTTGATTCTCTTGACAGCTGCCTCATTTCTGTCCTCTCTTCTTAGCTCCAAAAAAACCTCTATCATATCTCATTGCATATGATAACATATATTACTTAACTGTAATAATTATAATGGCCCTGTGAATATATCTATTACTGTCATTACATTTTAACTTTCTTGAAATAAGACCCTAAAGGTTATTCATCTTTGATTTTCCAGTGTTTATTATAGTTCATGGTGCATAGCAGTATGCAAAGTATCTATTAGAAGAATGGATGACCTTCTTATGATTAAATAATATAGGTAACCACATTATATAATTTATGGTGCAGTGAACTATTGCTCCACAAAATGATTTTTAATTTATAAATTTATAATAATAAAAATTGTGTTTACTTGATCGCAGAATTAAAAGTATTATCCTAAACCATGGAAGAATAATTTAATCTTTAGGAGGTGTAAAAAAATCTATGTGCTCTAAAATACTAGAAAAATTTTTGAAATTAAATTTTAATGGAAAAAGAAGAGAAATGTCATGATAATGTTGCCAAGGGGTAGAAAGGAAAAGGGAGGGAAAGAAAGAATGTTGTGCATTTATTCAATAACATTTATTTTTGACATGCCGTATTTGCTGTACACCAAAGGTGTACGTTGTTACGTATGTGGTTCATTGTTACTAAGCAATTACTACAGTTTCAGTAGTCAGCTTATCTTTCCATTTACCAGTTTAACACTATTTTAGTGATAACTATTCAAAAGAATTCTTGAAACCAGCCAAGGCAGGTTCTTTCTCCCTTTCTGTTGTTTGCGAAATATTCTACTGATCATTAGCCCTTATTATTCTCTTTAGGGTCATATTTTCAAACTCTGTGAAAAAAATGTTTTTTAGTTTTGATTAGAGTTGAATTGAATATATACATTAATTTAGAGCAGAACTAATATCTTCATAATATTTCTTCCTATCTATGAACATGGTATATTCATTAAATTTTCTCTTCTTTAATATTTGGTGATATATTTGTACTCCTTTTCCTTTAAGGATTTTCTATTAGTATTTTACATAAATATCTGATATAGTATTTAAATCTCATTTGTTTCTACTCTTTCTCCTTGTTCATACCCAGAATGTAAAATTTTTCCCCTTTATTTTCATAATTGCATGTTTTCATAAGACACTACCAAAATAAAGCATATTTGGATCCCTAATCATTTGTCCCCAAATGAGTGTAAAAAGTAGATTCTTTTCCTTTTAATTCAATAATTTCTTAAAAATTAAAATGTTTTAAAAATTTGAATTAGAAGAACAATAACATTTCTTTTAGATTAAAAAACCAAAAATCTTGAATGGCCATTAAAGTTCTTCCACAAAGGAGATTTTAGCATTGTTATGGGAAAGAAGAAAGAGGAACAATTAAAAGCTGTTTTGTAGTTTTTATATTTTTAAACACATAGATATTATGTACTAGGAGAAGGAAAATTGGGTCAAGCTTGCAGTTGGATTCCATTAAAATAAATCTTTCCATAATCATAGACCTCATCAAAGAATATAAATTTGTAGATTAAGTTTGTATCAATTATGTGAAGTATAGTTTTTTAATGCAATTTTTTTTCATAGAATTATAACTTTTTGATTTGGGCCCAACTGGAATGTTAAATGAATTTAGTAAAAGTCAAATAACACATCATAAATATACACAAAAATATACACTTACATAGTCAGAATGGAAGAATTTTCCGTTTTCTTATAATTTGTTAAAATAAAATCAACCTTCCTGTAATTTGTATCAGAATTCCTTGTGCAATGAAAAATAGGCTGTATTTTTATTTATCAGCCATTGCCAATTTTTCATGTTTTTTTCATTGTAGAAAAGTCATTAGATGAAAAATCAGCTGAGACAGTTCAAGAAAATAAATTGATGTATAATATAGCTACACAAAGTAGGTGTTTTTATTAACAGTACCAATCCTACTGTCATGGAAAAAGTTTAAATTCTGATGATCCCTCAAATTCACTTACAGATTATATTTGAAAGAAATAAGTATTTACTTTTTTCTAATCAGTATACAAAATATACTAGAAAAGGAGATGTAACCTGAATAATTTTTTAAAAAGAAGACATATGCTTGCATATGTGTATATGATTGAAATCCTGGTTATAAAGTTGGCTAGTGGCAATAGCCATATAAAATATTTTGAGTATAAATTTAGCTGCTTTTCAATTTTAAGTTAGCTTGTACAATGGCCTCTCCCTTTTGGAGAGTTAATGTTATATGTTTTCAAATAAAAAGATTTAAGTAATATATAAAAATATTTGAAATGTTTAAAATGACACAAGTGGAATATCATTTCATACAATTTTATCATGTAAACCAAGTGAAAAATGTTTTCACTTGCAAAGATTAAACTGATGACTGATGGAATAATCTACATTTATATATTTTTATTTTGGTCATATAAGTTTTATATGAACAACATAATCTTACTTAGAAATATGCATGTGTGAATTATTTAATAATTTTTCTACAGCCAATGTTTACTCTTGCATCATTCTGAACCATTAACTTTACTTAAAAATACAGAAAATATTAAAATTTATATAATATTTATTTGGATTGCTATTGATTTTAATTTCCCCCTATATAAAAATACTTGGAAGATGTAGCGTCAGAATGAATGTAAATCACTTTGTTTTAATTTTAACAGTAAAGAAGAATCATCAATTACATCAGAAGAGAATAACTTTAGGGAATCAAAGTTTACAGGTAATATTTAATTTTTAAAAACATTATTTTATTAAAGTCTACAATTGTAACAATCTTACAAAGGTACAATTATATTAACTTTTCAGACACCGATATCCCAACAATCATTTGCTTTCATGAGGACGAGGAAGACTTGGAATCAAGTAATCAAAATGTAAAAGATGTAAACAGTGAACAGGATGAACATAATGAAAAAGAATTAGACTTGATGGTAAGTGTTCTGGTTGCCCCGGCATTAGTGAAGATGAATCCATTTATGCTTCAAAGGTGCTGCAATGCCTGCCTTTCAATAGCTTTAACTAATATAATTTGCAAATATGAAAGCACAGCCTATTCTGCCCTTGCAACTCTAGCTTGATCAACAATGCACTTTGATTTTAGTATGTTGCTTCTGGTCTCTGCAGTGGTAAATTAACGACATTCATTTCTTATCTCTTTACCTACAACTTTGAACAATAGCTTGCGGGAATTGTAGGAGAGGTAACACTATCCTGAGGTGCATTTCTAATCTTTGTGACAAGTGTACACTTAGCATAAACTCATGTGTAAAATGAGAGGGCTGGACAGATCATTGTTTGGGTCCTGTCCAACTCTACAAGTCTATAATACTTATATTTTGTAGCATTTTGTTTTACTTTCATCCTTGTGCAAATCTCAAAGTTCTATATCATTGTAAAGTATTAAATTACCAAGTGAGAAGAAAAAGCCTGTGTCATATGTTTTAAACAGGAAACAAATTCAGTCCTGTGTAATTTAGTATTAAATTTTTTTACCATACATTTCACACTTGGTGAACATTCAATCTATTTCGAATTTTGGGGGGAATGGTTTAGATAGCACTTTTATCACAAAGAAAGAAATAGAACTAAATGAGTCACATAATGCAATTTATCTTTTATTGTATTTGGTTGGAGCTCATATCATTGGGATACGTGGATTCATAATCATCTAAGATTAAAATAACATTTGCCTTTTCAAGTGTCAGTGCTGAAACAGAAAAGAAATAGAGCTCACCTCTTTCCCCACCTTTTCTACCTTTTCAATAGCGATATGGCAACTGCATCACTAAAGTATGCAATTTACTTTGCTCCAACTTTAAGAAACTACAAAGTTGTCACCCATTGTGAGAATTCTCACCAGCTGAAAGTTAACATCGCCATTTTTTTTTCAAACCACAGAACATAATGAAAGGGCCTTGAAAAAAATCACATACTTCACCAATATACCTCATTACAATGAGCAGGCTCAAATATAAAAGTTTGTTTAGAAGTTCCTGAGACTGTATGTCCAATAAATGAACACGGAGCTGTAATTTAGATGCTAATTTGCTCCATGCTGACATTAATGCATAAAACAATGAAGTTCTATAATAGATGGAAATACAACCAAATCTGTGGAACCCACAGGCATTGGCTTACAAGACAGCTGTGCAGTTGACAAGTAACATGAGCCTTATGTGAGAAGAAGGGGAAAATGTAAGATTTGCATATAATTATTGAGATCATGCAAATGTCAGTTATGAGGAGAGAAAAAAAAACACAGGCATCTCACTGTTAAATCCTGACAGTTGGCATCACTGAAGAGCTCAAATACATTTGAGTACCAGTTGGCAGAGGGTCATTAAAACAGAATTTGCAGAGACATTAACTCCCTCACTTTTCTTTGAGTGACGTTTTGCTATTAATAGTTTGCAGAGGCTTTGCAGAAAACATATTAATAAGAGAAACTGTAATGGAGGCACCTACAGCAAGTGTAAATGCAGCACAGGGCACCCAGGAAGCTGCTCTCTAATTGATTAGCATGGAGCTATCAATGTGTATATTCTAAGTGAGGAGAAAGTGCAATGACAAGCAAGAATAGTTGAATAATACAATGTGATATTTGGAAGCTGGGAAGGAGGGTGATTAATTTGGGCCACTTTTCTTACTAATCTCATTCCCAAGTCATAGCCTGCAAGGATCTCCCCAAAACATCCAGCTTCCAGAGTTTGTATGAAATCCACAAATGAAGTGAGTCAAGAATACCTACCAGATAATTATGGAATTAATAAAGGCTATCTAATTCATTCTATGTATATAAAAGGATCATATGGTCATTATTCTTTTGTTGCTTTTGTCCCATAAGATAAATCAACACTTAATAAGAACTAGAAGTGCTGCTTCCAGGGATGAAAAGGATACGTTTTCATCGGATCCAGTCAATTTTCCTAATAAAGCTGAGGGGTTAGAGAAGAAGAAAATCCATGGTAAACTACGCACTGACTTGTTTGAAAGGCCTTTGTCTCCAAATTCATCAGTAGAAAACTCCTTAAAGGGAGATTTTTACCACAATGACAAATATTCCTCAAGAAATGAATGTAGTCATCAACTTTCAGAGGAAATTATTTCAGAAATGAGAGAAATCAAGCCATCATTGAAAGATACTAGTAGTGATGAATTAGTGCAATTACACATTGATAGCAAAGAAGTCCTGGATGATAACGGTAATCTAGGGCACAGGAGTTGCAGAGTGAAAGTATCTTGGTTCTCCCCAGCTCAACAAATGGCCAGTGATCTTAACAAAAAACATGAAGGAGGAGGTAAGAAAAGTAAAATAAAAGATTGGGAAGGTTTAAGTAAAGATTTCCATTCAGGTTCATGTGCATGTACAGAACGATCGACAGACAATAGATCTTTGAAGGAAGATTATGGCAAGGTTAAAGATGAAAAGGAACAAAGTGTACACTTAGGTGTTAATAAAAAACAAAGCAAAAATTTTCAGTTATCCTTGCATGACCAAGAAAGAAAATCAGGCCACTCTGAAATAAGTCTGGAAGGGACTGAAGCTAGGAAGAAAGACTTACCAGCTCTGTCATGCAAAGATGCCACAATTCCTGCCCAGGCAATAGCAGTTATGTTTCCTTCAACAAGGACAAATTTAAATTGGGAAGAAACGACATTAACAACTTCAGAGAGTGATCATCCCGCTGGTGAAGGCATGACTTCAGAAGGGATAACTAGTAAAGTCTGCTTATCAAGAAAGAGAAATGTTTTGAGGGATGATTATGTTTTCCAAGCTGAAGAAGAAAAATCAGATTGGATTAATCCTGAAGATAGGGGTAGAAATACACAGCATACAGAAAATTGGAATATTCTAGAAAGGCAGGAAAAGGTGAAAGGGAATAAGACAAATATAAGTGAGCAGATCAAAGAACAGGCAGATTGTAAAGACATGTGGGGGGAAAGAGATAACACGAGTTTGAATGTTACTCCTACAGAAGAGCTATTTACCTGCCAAAAAACAGAATGTGATGAACTGTATTCTCTAGCTGATCATGGTGTTACTGAGAAAGCACAAGCAGGTACAGCTTATATAATTAAGACAACATCAGAAAGTACTCCAGAAAGCATGTCTGCTAGAGAAAAAGCAATAATTGCTAAGCTACCTCAAGAGACAGCACGAAGTGACAGGCCCATCGAGGTAAAAGAAACAGCGTTTGATCCACATGAAGGGAAAAATGATGATGCACATTATACCCTTTGTCAACGAGATACAGCAGGTGTAATCTATGACAATGAATTTGAAAAGGAATCACATGCGGATATTTGTATTGTACGTGCAGATGAAACAGAGAAAGAGGAAACCATGCATATGTACAATCCTGGGAAGATGCAAGACAGGGAGAAACATGGTGTTGGAAATATAATATCTGTAGAAGAATCTTCCCAGGTCATTACAAACAATCAAAAAGCAACCTCAAACTTGGATTTACACTTAGAAGTATTATCAACAGACAAAAGAATATTTGCAGAAAATAGCGATCTTGGGCAGGTCCAAAACTTATCAAAGAAAACAGATTTAGAAGTTGCTGTTCTTTCTGCTTCTAACTCAGACACAAACAGAGCTTCTCAGACTGACTGTCACATTTCCAGTCACCATCCTAAAACATCAGTACCGTCTTATGAACAGGCTGGGGAGAATACAATTACCACCACACATCTCCAATCTATTTCTACTGAATCAGGAGATAATTGTAATCCAGGTGAAATCCAGGGTCATCTGGGGTCTAAACCCAAGAAAGCTTCCACAAATTCAGAAAGTTCATCAGGTTGTAGAAAAGAAAGATGTATGGGGCAGATTTTCCAACCAGGAGAATGTAGTGTGGAAAAATCTGTAGGGCCAATGATTTTAATCAATGAACCTCTTGAGAACATGGAAGAAGCAAGGCATGATAATGAAGGATTATTAAGCTCTGGACAGTCACAGTACTCTTCAGGTGACAACACATCTGAGAACTATGCCTCTGCTAGTTTTCCTGACCATGAAAGTGAAGCTCAGAGCCATGAATCTCTGCTTTTAAAATATGCCAACTCTAAAATACCTTATTTTCTTTTGTTTCTGGTATTTCTTGTAACCATCTATCAGTATGACCTAATGATAGGTTTGGCATTCTACCTTTTTTCATTGTACTGGCTGTACAGGGAAGGGGGAAGGCAAAAAGAATCTGCCAAAAAGAAGTAACCTTGGTGCTAGTACTAATCTCTCTTAAAAGATAAGCTATTTAGCCCCAAACTGGATTGGTGAAAGAGACTATTCATTGTTCAAAGAGCTGGTGCAGTTTTTCTCTTGAAGGATCATTTAAAAAGGAATGCGTATGACGTTTGCTCCTTCATATAAGTAATTATTCTATATAGGACCATTATGTTTGGATCATTAAATACCTATATGAATATGAGATCTGAAGCACGTCAAGTTGAAATTAGGTACAGCTGTTGCTCCTTAGCAGGCTATGAAGTTGCAATGCTTCATGTCTCTTCACTACTTAAAGAGCTATTTCTTGCATTCATTTCTTTTGCAGTAAAGCTTCATTTTTTTTTTCCTGTGAGCACTTTTCCTCTTATGGTTTTTAAAAATAGATAAAACATGGATGATGGCAAAGGATTTTTTTTTTTTGGTCCTTTGGAATTGCCCATGAAATTTGCATTTACCCTGTAACATTTATCAGCACATATTAATAGATCAAATACTTCAACTTCAGTTTCATATTTTTAAAAAAACAACATGTGTATTAAAATATATAAACTTAAATTGAAGAAATATATTATGTTTACTTGAATTATACCTTACACACACATACCTTACACACACATACCTTTTATTTACAAAATCTGAACATTCAACAGAAGCAAAATTTGACAAACACTGAAACAAATGTCTAAAATTAGACAAAATTTTGTGAGTGGCCTGTCTTTGAGTAATGTTTTTTTCTTATAAAGAAAGACTATAACACAGCTGAGTAATTTAGATATCAACTATTTATTGAGAGTTGAACACTTAAATTAAAAATTCCACAAGCATTGCTTCAGAATTACTTTGTATCTGTAAAGTATAAGGCATTAAATTATAATAATAAAAAGATATCCAAATGAATGATTTGTTCTATGTGGTAGTATTTTTGTCTCCAAATAAAGTTTTAATCTTTTCCTCATGATAAGACAATGAACTGTCCTCTAAAGTGAATTTAGTGAACAAATTCCTGGTCTTTGGTGATATTCATAATATAATTATTCAATTATGAAATGATCACTCAAATTTTCAGCAGCTAAATATATATAAGTGGAAGTCTACTGAAAAATAAGTGAATATCAGTAACAGCAGTGACTTTGGTTGTTGTAATTATCTATGGCTAAAGGAGTGGAACTAATCATTTACTTAGGCAGGGGTAATGCAAAAATTTATATACAACTTATTTCAGCTGTTCATTGAAGGCTGTAATAGGCAAAATGCTGTACTCTGTTCTATGGCATAGCACTTCCTTTGATAGTTTGTACAGCTATTTCTAGGAACTGATATGATCCTATTGGCTGAAGCATTGTAAGAAAGTCACACAGAGATAGCCTATTTGGATGATGCCTTTTTCATAGGAATTTATTTCATAAAACATAAAATATTGATCTTTAGAGTAAAAAAGGATCTATTTACCGATAAAGTAAATTCAGTAAGTAATATGTGAACACATCACCCCACAAAGAGGTATGCATTTATAAAAAGACAAAGTAAGAATGACACATTTGACTTTCATTGAATGACTTTCATTTACTAGTCAATGATTTCCTTCCTTTTCATTAGGTACACAAGGATTTCCCAATCCTTTCATTGCATTATACTCTCAAGTCTCATTGAAAGTGAATGATTGGCTTTGCCTCTTTAGTTGACCAAATATAAATATCTTGAAGTAGAACTTAGGGCAAATATTTGATTGTTTGAAAAAGCATATTTTCTTTAAATACTAGTGGAATACTGTAAAGCAGTACCTCGAAATTATCTCTAAAATTGCTATTCTGATAATTTTGTTGACAATTCTAAATTACAATGGAATCAATGTTAGCATTTTTCAGTTCTTCTACTTTTTTAAGAGTTTTAGTCAATATGCCTCTCACATTAATGCAAAGAACACTACATTACTTTATGAACACAGGTGACCAAGCTTGAATTATTCTTATAAAAGAACAATAAAGCCATTTTAATCTTTTAATATGACTTTTCATAACACTGATTTTCCAATCCTTTGCATACATTTATAACAAGAACGGTAAGAAATTTCAAAAGATTTAAAATATTCCATTGTGTATTTTTTGTATGCAGTGAAGAAATACTTGATGACGAACTTATTTTCCAAAAAATACTAATAAGGAAATTCAAATAAAGTCATATGAACTTGTGAAAGTTTTGCTAAATGGAGACTTAGATTTTTGAAACCTGTTTTGGTCATTTCACTGGGTTGAGAAAGGAAAAGATCTTGGGAAGAACTAGCATAGAGATTTGGCTTATGAAGATGTGACTGTGAGTTATTATGGCAGGGGTCATCTTTTAGACATAACCACCTATACTATGTCATCACCTATTTGGTTAAGGGCCCAAAGAGGAACTTGGAGGAGAGCTAACAAAGAGGTGCATGATATATCTCAATAATATATTGATCAAGAAACACAAAAACACCACCTTTGATCTTCTTGCTGTTAGAAGGAAACTCCTAAAAATTAGTTGGTAATAAAAGACTTATGTTTAAAAAATTCACATTTGTATAAACCATCATTGTTACAAGCAATTTCTCAACCAGCAGGAAGTGAACAATGAGATGGCCCTCACCCTTCAATATTACTGAAAATTGTGTTAATGGAGCCATGTTATTGCGATGAGCTTCAATATTTTGAGGGGAATTATTTCAGGGAATATTTATATTTATATATGTAATACCATTTGTGAAAGAAACAGAATATTTTTTGTCATCTTAAGCCAGTCTTCTAGTTATTTGAACACTTAAACATATCCAGCCCAATTGGGAGAAATAAGTATTTTATTTTTTCTCAAAAGCATTCATAGTGTTCTCTTAATATATTTTCCAGTAGTGAATATTATTTCATATCCAAAGGTCTTTTGTCTTCCTCACTAGGGTCCCTGTTTACATGCACATAGCTAAAAAAAGCAAACAAAACAATAAAAAAAAATCTAACAGACCTAGTAAAGATGTAGTTAGGCCCATTTACTGATTTGTTATACAGTATCTGACTTCTCAGCTTTCACTGAGTGAATATGGAAATTTAACTGTGCAATAGAGATTGCATTATTATTATTTGAATCTATGTTGACAGTTCTTCTGAAATTGAGGAATAAGACTGATTTTGATTCTGCAAGGTTTGAAGTCATTGTGAGAGACCATGATCTCCAAGTATCTCCATGGTTGGGTATCTACAGAGAAAGAACAGCTAAAAATGCTATTTTGCTTTATTTGATTAAATTCATGTTTTTTAATGTTTCAGGAAAAAGTAATAAAAATCTGGACAACATAATTTTCTTTTTGTCTTTTAAATTAGGTTTAGCCATTGATTCAATGTGTCCACCAGTTTATTCAAGTCTTTAAAAAATGCTAATTAAATTTTCACTAGGTTTTCAATCTGGTTTTAAATGTGCACATATTTTACATTAACTGCTTTAATATAGCGTGCTAAAACCTTACATAAAATTTATTTAAAAACTACAAGTTTTCATTTTATATCATACCTATATTTGTTAAATACACAGTACATTTTTTAAAAATATGCAACAATGGATTGTGTGAAAATTTAGTTAAAAATTCTTAAAACTGTTTTCTCACATCACCACTTCTTTATATTCATGATAATAAAGAAAAGGGGTCAATAGGTAAGTTAATAGTGGATTGTGAAGAAATCAATTGTATTTGGTTGTGATGCCTCTAAAATATGATACTGTAGCAGATTACAGTGCGTTCATTCATTAAATTAATTGTCTTGGTTGAAATTGGTGTATATTCTTCTTGTTACCCAACCCAAACCATTCAGCCTTACTTCTCACTAGGCACTGCCTCAAGTGCTATGTAGTTAAGCAAGTCATGTTTTGACCCAGAATATGACTTTACTTGTGTATAATGTGACTTTACCTGTTAATATCCCTCTGCCTAGAGGACACCTTCAGTTATCTCTACTCCTCTTGTCATACTCAATTCTGTACATTTTTCTGTGCACAATTCAAGTCTCCAGCCTTTGGTAGTATCCTAATATTTCAGTTTGTAGGATCTTTCTATTTTCATTTCTCCTATTTTCATTTCATTTCTACTAAGCTCCTCCTAGCACAAACAGAACATTAGCCAACTTAACTTAACTGAACTGTTTGCTTGGTCATGACTGGGACAAAGCTTTTCTCTTCCTGCCCATCATGTTCTAAAGTCTGATTTGTAGGAATTCTAAGTCAATACTTGTGAATGGGGTGGAATTATAAAGATGTCTCCCTCCTTTCCCGTCTGTGAAATGCGGACAAAATACTCTGAGGTCTGATTTAAACCTGAATGAACTTAACCAAATCAAAGATAAGATGTTTTAGTAGACTCTGAAGATAAGTTTAAAAGGAGGAAAAATGTGGACAAGTGCAGAGTGCAGTACATTTGAGATGTGAGAGGAGAAGCTATCCTTTCCATTTCTCTTAACAATTACACTGATTTTCTGTATTTATAAATTCTTCCTAGCACATGATATACTCCATTTATTTCTCAGAAAATAACATACATATCATATATTGAAAGGACAATATTGCATAGCTTTATTTCCTGGCCATGTTAACAGAGCAGGATATGTTTTTATATAAACTAACTCAGTAGCTTAAAAATCAACAAACATCACAAGGTATAAAGTGCAAGAAACTCAATCTTCCCAGCTGCTGCCATGCCCTTTAGAAATGGCTGATCTCTCCATTTCACACCCGTTCTGCATGTGAACCTTAGGTAAGCAAACTAGAAAAAATAAACAGTCGATTTTCAATAAAATCATTTGTTTGATTTACATACCACACACAAAAACACACATGCATGGTATAATATCCAATAAATGACAGGAATATAGTAATATTTAAATATTATGTCTAATGATCTACATAAAATTTGAAGGTTTATCCTTTCCTTGAAGAGATTCTTCTCATCAGATTTAGATATAAAATTAACATGGTAACACAAAATCATGGCTATTTTTAAGTCCAAAAATAGGCTGAGTTCTAAGAAAATAGGACATGGAAAAAATGTAGCAGCATGTCATATAGTAGTGTACAAGCCAGGTACACGTCCACTATATTGTAGAATCCACGAACATCTTGTATTAGTTAACTTGGTTCTGAATTAAAACAGATTAAACATTTCCTAAAGACATATTCTAAAAATATAATACCAAGAAGCAGAGATAGTACTTAAATATCATCATAAGAGAATAGTAATGTGCCTTGTTAAACCCAAACTCAAGTAATCCATAATCTTCTTTTAGTAATTTTATGTAGGATGAGGCTATTATGTAAGAGTTTATAAAATATTTTAAGTAAAAAACATGAAAATATCTTTATGTACATGTACCTCCTCCCTAAAATGAATGTGAACTCCATGTACTGTATACAAGTATTAGTAAAATAAAAATTTTAAAAATCAATATCAAAAAATGAAATATAAAAGAAAATATAACACATTTAAGTTATTCTATAAACTTTTTTAAATGTTGCATTTTGTTTCTATGCAATAAGTTAATTTCTAGTTAATAAAATTAATTCTGGGGCGATCCAGTTTTCTTTTTTCATGATGCATATAAATTTTTCATTTTTAGTGAAACTGTACTGACAACCCGCCTAAAAGGAACAAAGGTCAAAGAACATGTCATTTGTTTCTGACACAAATGCAAGTGGAAACATTCTAAATACATTTTCAATCTTTGAAAGTTGGAAAATAAAACAAGATAGAAGATGAGAGATTACACATTTTCTTCATGTTTGTTTCATATTCTTTAATATGTTGGATCAAGCCTATATATTTCAATTAAGCCAATTTGTGCATATTAAGTGAATTATTTGGACTACTTATCCTATTCTCATTCTTAAAATATTAAAGTACAGTACTTATCACATGAATAAGCAAGGAATCAAGTTGTAGTTTTATTTTTTGAGTATAGAAGATATACATATATATATCCAATGGTCTGTGCATGTGAGGTCCAATCTTTAGTAATAATTATATGAATAGAAAAACTATATTATATTGAGTGTTTATAATGTATTGGGCTTTGCTGTAAGCTCTTTATGTGAAATAACATTTGTTTTTCAGAATTCCATGAGAGAAGTATAGTTCTAGTAATTTCACTTTAGAGATTGAAACAGAAAAGAGAGACATTTATTTATCTAAGGTCATGAAGCTAGTAGGTACAGTACTTGGTAAAGTCTAGATTTGAACCTTGAGTAGGCTTTCTCCAGACTTGTTCCTCTTAACCACCACCCCACATTTCTCCATTGATCTGGATACACTGAGTTATTGAATGAATTTCACAGTCAACATGCTACATGGTGTTATAGTCGCATCAGTACATTATATGTAACACACCATTCTCTTGCACAATCCTGTCTTTATTAATGCTCCTAAAAATATAAAGTTCTTTAAATATTCTATTCATTTCTATTTAAGTAATTTCATCTCAAAATATACTCACTAGATTTCTTCTAGGTTACAATGTGGGAAAATGATATCTACCTTGCATATAGTAAAAGAGATGGAGACATAAAACAATAATTGTGATACCTTGTGACTAGTTTAAAAATAGAAGTAAAATTTAGGAACATAAATGGCATGAAAAAATACTGTTTGACCCTGTGAACATTTTGTCTCTTATTTTTAAGAGACGATCTATCTTTTTATCATTTTAATTTTAGGGCTCAAAGAATTCACAGTGAAACCATGTAAATTCCTCATTACAACTAACTTTTACGTACATATTAGCTAGGATTGGGATATGTTAATGTGATAGTTATAGTGTTTATTTATGCTGTGTGTCTTCATCTAATTAACAGCATCTTTTTAACTTGCAAAAGTAACATGATTTAGATGACAAATTATAAGGCTCCCCTAAACATTCAAGACAACAACCTAGCCATTAGATGTAAATAACTGTATCAAATAAAGAAAAGGAACAGATTCAAAACCAAATATTATCAATAATTTAAGGATATAATCCCTGTCTTTAAGGTCTTAAAATATAACTCTGCAATATATCTACATTATTGTGTAATATATCAGATCCCTGATCAGCCCAAGTAAAGCCATATTTTTGAAGATTCAGTAATGTAGAGGACAATGGGGAAAAAAGTAAGCACATTTTCAAAAGAATGCCGTAGTCAAAAGTTATTAGAAAGTACAGTAGTCATTGACACACTGTAACTAGGTGATCATTATTACATTGTGGAACCAGATATGTCAGCCTACTCAGAGGGCTTAGTATATAATAATTTTGTGATCCAGAATTGCCAAAAACAGTGAAGCTTCTGCAAAGGTTGTGGAGACCCTTGTGCATTACTGAAAATGATACTGGTGTATGTTGCTAGAAACTATAATATGCATTCTATTTATCATCAATAAGAGAAATAAAAAGTAGAGAAGAACCTAGATTTTGTTAGGATGATATAACAATTTGTAGTAAGACAATACTATTAGAATAACAAAATAAATGCACATACAAACAAATAGCATAAGATATAATAAGAGACATAAACATTTTAAGTGTTACTCCATCTTCTTTGGCCTTTGTAATAACCTTAACTTTTGGCCTTTCTTCATATAGGAATTACTTTGTGATGCTGTAAATGACAATGGATCTTTTCCTTCACTTCTTTTTAATGGATATTTGGATTTGAAGCTTATCCAAAAATTACTTGTTATGGTTTGTGTCTACATGTCCCCCTAAAGCCTCATGTGGTCAAGGTCAGGCATTTTAGAGGTGGCTGGATCTAGAGTGTGTGATGCTGGGATTAAGGGTGTGTGATTACTTGATTAGTCCACTGATTGGGTTGGCATAGTTCTGGGTGTGGATAATGGGAAGGCCCTCCCTTGGTGTAGGGAGCACCATAAAAAGGGTGGGTAGCCTGGAAGAGATAAAAGGGAGAGGTAGGCTGCTGCTGCTTCTTCACTGCTTTGATGCTTGCTGCCTTCTGCCTGCCATGAACTGTTTCTCTTCTGCAGTGTCCCTCTATCATGTCACCTTGCCATGAAGCTAGACAACTATGAAATGTAACCTCTACAAACTGTGAGCTACAATAAACTTTCCCTCCTTTAACTTTGAGTACTGGGTATTTTGTCTCAGTAATGAGAAAAGTACCTAAGATACTACTCTAATTAGTGAAAAATCATAGAATACATTTATACTGATATTCTAGCAAAAAGCTAGCATAGTTGTCCTAAAAGCCTTAGCCAAGCATCTACTGACTTCAACTAATCTTAACCACACAAGAAAAATCCAAAGAAATAGTTTGTGAAAGCTATATTTTTCCCTAGATCTTCTTTTTGTATATTCCAAAAACATCACTGGCACCAATTTTGTGAGTATATAAAAATGTTCATTCTATGCTTGAGGGTAAAGAGGCTGTGATATTTTATGAAATTGAGCTTCATTTTGTAGGTTGTGAAGGCCAAAGATAATTTGATAGGAGTCAACGTGTATCACTCATAGTTCTTGGTTGGAAATAAACAAAATCCCCTAAAGTAAGGAAATAAGTCAATTCTAGGGCTAAAAGCAGAAACTGGTAAAACTAGTGAAGGAATCAGTCAATGAAACTTGTCAGATATGGAGTCTCTGTGGGCTTTCATGTTCTTCCATCTTCCCTCTCCCGCCATTTTCTGTGTCAACTTCATTCATTATCAGTGAGTTTTCTCTTTCCACTTACTCTTCTTTACTATGTAGTCCCTAAAATAAAATTCTTTGACAGT